AGAAAAAAGTGTATGTTAATGAAGTAAAGACTAAATTGGAAGCATGATATGCCTGGAAATTTTAAAAAATCAGTTAGGTTGTATGTGCAATTAGGCAGCACAAATCTTTTACTTTTCTCTTGAGCTAGAAGTTTCAACTGCATACCAAAAAATAATGCATGGAAGTGATGCACATCATTGCTTTTAATTGAGTGCTTAACATGCGCTCTTTGAAAACCTAGTTAAAAGGTTTTTATAATGAGCAAAATGTAGAAAAAAATTAATATATCTAAACTTCATCATGTTCTGATCTTCCCCAGGAAGTATGATAGACCCCAAATGATTTCTATAATTGAAAAATATTACTAACCTTATAAAATATGTTCATAATATCTCACCAAAAATAACATCTTGTTAGGAAGGGCCATACTTGCTATTTTACAGATGATCAAAGAAATAAAAAACTGATTGTAGGCTTAGTGAATGAATTTACCATTTCTGAAGATATTTTGTTAACAATGATATTCTTTTTTTTTTTTTTTTTTTAAGATTTATTTATTTATTTATTTGAGACAGAGAGAATGAGAGAGAGAGAGCACATGAGAGGGGGGAGTGTCAGAGGCAGAAGCAGGCTCCCTGCCGAGCAGGGAGCCCGATGCGGGACTCGATCCAGGGACTCCAGGATCATGACCTGAGCCGAAGGCAGTCGCTTAACCAACTGAGCCACCCAGGCACCCAACAATGATATTCTTTAAGATGACAAATTTCAGCATGATTAGGAAATTGAGAACATAATTATTTGACAACACTATATAATATTTTAAAAATTTTTATTGGTTGTGCTGTATTTTCCTGATGCTTATAGTAGTCCCTGGAAAGAAATTATACATAAGAAAGTACATGCACCATTTTAAATCTTCACGGATTATGTGAATGTATGCACTATACACTCCACATACCACAAAATTCTTTCCAAGCTCACAAGGTGATACATTTCTTTTTCTCCATTTATTCCTCCTTCTTTCTTTCCTTTCCTTCTTCCTTCCTCCTATCTTCCCTTCCTTCTTTCCTTCCTCCCTCCCGTCCTCCCTCCCCTTCCCTTCACTTCCTTTCCTTTCTCTCCCCTTCCTTCTTTTCTTTCATTTATTCACTGGTTAACTCACTCATTCAAAAAGCCTGAAATGCCTTTTCTTGAGTGCCTAATATGGCATATCATTGAGTACCTAATATAGGACAGACACTCTGGTGTTACACAGAGGAAACAAAAATCACAATGCATCTTCTATCCTTAAAAACCTTATAGTCTAAAAAGTAGAAGACAGGTAATCATGACTTCAGTAGTGTTGTAAGTACTTGTATGGAGCTAAACATAGAGTGCAATTAGTGGCCAAAGCAGACAGAAGAAAGTGAAGAGACTATTTAGAGATAAAAGTATATCTGATTTTACCTCTTCCAAGTTGAAGTTTAAAATGAAAGGATTCATAGGGTGCCTGGGTGGCTCAGTTGGTTAAGCATCTGACTCTTGATTTTGGCTCAGGTCATGATCTCAAGGTCCTGAGACTGAACTACACCCCCCCACCACCCCCTCACCCCCCGCCCCCCGGAACTGGGCTCCAGAAAGGTGTGGAGGCTGCTTAAGATTCTCTTTCTCCCTCTCCCTCTGCCCCTCCCCTCACTGCTTACATGTGCACGCATGCTCTCTCTCTCTTAAAAAAATAATAAATAAATAAATAAAATGAGAAGATTCAGCCAGACCATCGTAGGACTGGGAGGATGAATATTGACTTTATAATCAGAGCGGAATGTATTTATGAAAAAATAGAATAAAGAAAGCACTTGGTACATTCTGGCCTCTTGCAGTTTTTCCAGGTAGCTAGAGAACAGAGTTAGAGGGAAAAGGGTAGCTACAGAGAAGCTGGAGAAAGAAAGAAGGGCAAATTGAAGAGATACTTATATTGCTATCTATTTAAGATCAGTTTCTTCCACTTCATTGTTCCTATGTTATCCCCTCTGGCACTTTGGCCCACTGTGTTTTTGTTTATAGTGTTTTAAGCCTTGCCTATTTCTGGATTCTTTTACGTTGCCTATGCAGCAGTGTAAGTCATGCCCATATTAAGTCAGGGGCATATTTCCTACACTGCATGAAAGAGAACAAAATAAAGACATTTTCAGGGAAAGAAAATTTTGAAAATACCAAATCTAACTCACTAATAAAGCTTATAAAAGACACATTTTAGTAACAAGAAAAAATAATGCTTAGGAATGTCTGATAAACAAAAAGAGTTGTGTGCAAAATGTTACACTGGGAAAAAATATAATCCAACATTTATTGCGTAAACTAATAAAAAATTATCTTAATACAGGGATTATTAAATAAAATAGGTATAACATGATGGAAAATAAACCACATATCAAGAAAAAAATCATAAGCTCCTCAAACTGTTCAAGTTAAAGATGTTGATTATGCTTCATAATCATAAATATGCATTCCAAAACTTCTAATAAGTTATCACTTAAAAATAAAATATATCATAAGCAAAAACTTAATTCTAAAGATTCTAAACTTAGTTTCATCTAAAACATGGCTACAAATTATATAAAGCAGAAAATAAGAGAAAAATGGAAAAAATAAGAAAGAAATCCACTATCACATTGAAATATTTTAATACAGTTCTCAGTAATTTATATATCAGTCAGAAAATAAATCAGAAATATAAAAGATTTAAATAACAGAATTAGCACAGTTTACAAAATGAACCTATTTAAGATTGCATCCCCCTACCAGAGAAAAGATTTTTCCTAAATAAAATATTTATGCAAATTACCCAAGTAGTAAGACAAAAATTAAACCTTCACAGATTTTAAATAATACCTACCATATAAACTACATTTACAAATAAATCAGAATTACATTAAAAGCTTATTTTAAAAAATAACTTTAAAATTCAGTGGAGATATAAGGGTTAATTTGTCTAAGACTAATCTCAGGTTGATTTTCCAGAGAGTTTGCCTTCTACAAAGTTCCAAGGAAACTGGTTGAGGTTCAATTTAGAAAAACCACCCAAATAAATGGACAGATAGATCATGTTTATGTTTAAGTATCCCCATCATAAAGATTTCATTTTTCCATCAATCTATAAATGAATATGATTCCAATCCTAATTCCAATAAAACTTCTGAAGGAAAGGAATAAGATAACACTGAAATTTATATGGAAGGACAAAGGTCAAGAACAGCCTAAAACTCATAAAGAAATGTAAGACTGAGGGATTCACCATAATAGATAATCAAAACTCACTATAGAAGCTTAGTAATGTAGACATGAAGTACTGAGGTAAAGATGGTTAGGTAAACCAAACAAATCAAAAAAAGAATGGAAAAGATCCACCCAAATATGGAAGCCTCACATGTGATAGAGATGGCACTGAATATTAACACATAAATACAATAAGTTATATTGCAACAATTTGTTTTCTATTTAAGAAAGAAAATGTAATTGGAACCTCAACTTCACACCATACGCATATATGAATCTCATATTGATTATGCTTCACATGTGGCAAGTGAAATATACATTCCTAAAATTCTAGATAGTTTCTTACTTCCAAACTTATCAATAAAAGGAAAAAATATCAGTTTTGATATTTTAAACATAATTTCATCTAGAAGCATCATGTAAATATGAAAAGTCAAATTTCAAAACATTTAGAATAAAATACCAGAGAATATTTTTTGACTTCAAGGTAGAAAAAAAAATTCTTAAATTCAGAAAAGCACAAAGGTCAAATGAAAAATATTTGTAACTTTTACTACACTAAAACTGAAATTTCTCTTCATCAGAAGTTACCATAAAGAAATGAAAGAAGATTGGATAAAAATATTTTTAACATATGTAACTTTAAAATATTTAGTATCAATAATATACAACAAATTCTTACAAATAAGTCAAAATACAATCACTCAATAGATGGGGAAAAATCATGAGCAGCTTTTTCACCAAAAAAAAGGAAATACAAATGACCTCTAAAAAGCCATTAAAACACAGTCTCACTCTTAATTATGGATTAATTTTAAAAATTTGATGAGACATGAAGAGTATAGATAGAAATATACTATAATATTATAATAGAAATATTATAATAGAAAGTGGCAATAAAAAAACATGTAGTTTTAATTCTAACTAGGAATGCCAAATGGTACAGAATGTGTATATTATTGCTTTGTACTATAGTATTATTTCTTTTTACCTTTTTTTTTTTTTTTTTAGATTTTATTTATTTGAGAGAGACAGAGACAATGAGATAGAGAGCACAAGTGGGGAGGAGAGGGAGAAGCAGGCTCCCCACAAAGCAGGGAGCCCGATGTGGGCTCGATCCCAGGACCCCGGGATCATGACCTGAGCCGAAGGCAGACGCTTAACCGACTGAGCCACCCAGGTGCCCTCTTTTTACCATTTTATCAATTCCTTTTACCATTACTTCTTTTACTATAGTGAATGAGATGTGGCAGGAAAGATGAATCATAAGGGACGGTCAGAGTGATACTATGCCAGAGAGGACTCAAACCCCCCATTCCGGATTTAAATATGAAGGGTACCACCAGACTGGGATGCAAGCAGCCTCTGAAAGCTGAGAATGATCCCAGGCTGAGAGCCACCAGGGAAACAATGACTTCAGTTCTAAAAGCACAGAAACTGAGTCCTGCCAAAACTGAAATGAGCCTGACAGCAGATCAATCCTAGAGTCCCCAGAAAGAAATGTAGGGCTGCTGATAGCTTGATTTCAGTCTTAGAAGACCCAGAGCACAGGAACCAGCTAAGACATGACCCAGAGAAACCTTGAGATAATAAATGGATGTTGTTTCAAGCTGCTAAAATTCTGGTAATTTGTTATGTAGTAAGAGAAAACCAATATAGACAGAAAATGGGCTAACTGCTATTTCATTACTGACAGTAAGTTTTAACAGCTATGGCTTAAAAATAAAATCAGTATTTTTTAAAATTTTTAAATCAGAAAACCCACCGTTTTTGATAAAGCAGATAATTCCTCTGTTGATGTCTTTGTTTCCTTCAATGCTTCACTCACTGCTTCTTCATTCTCCTCAATACTAACATTAACATTTTCTATTGCTATAGAGTAGTGACTATATAGATTGTCAAGGTTCTCTCTCTCTCTCCTAAGAGGAAAAACACAGTTGGTTTTATCCACAATGAAAGGCAAATCATGTTTAAAATTATATGTAAATTAGTTTCTGACTTAACAATGTAAATCAATGGAATTTACCTATTCCTAAAACTTCCCCCTTTCCAAAGCAACTTTTTTTTTTTTTTTAAAGATTTTATTTATTTGACAGAGAGACACAGCAAGAGAAGGAACACAAGCAGGGGGAGTGGAGAGGGAGAAGCAGGCTTCCCGCTGAGCAGAGAGCCCAATGCAGGGCTCGATCCCAGGACCCCGGGATCATGACCTGAGCCGAAGGCAGACACTTAACAACTGAGCCACCCAGGCGCCCTGCCAAAGCAACTTCTTAAAAGTACCATTTAGGATCAAGAACTAAATGGTGAGAAAAAATTCACCAGGTGCATTTATGCTTCCAATGGAAAAAAGTGAGAGAAAAGTGATTTCTAAATTATTTAAAATAAATCACCTTTTGATTTGCTTTCAGGTGATAGAGCTAAGCACCTTTGATAAAGAGGGTGGGCAGTACAGGGATGGAAAGGCAAGACAAAAAGAAGAGAGGATATAGAAGTGGAGACCACACATTTTTAAAGCCCTAGTTTACTGTTTTGTCTTTCCTGGTCTAGAGGTAAAATGGAGGAAACTGCAGCTTAGAAAAACAACAGGTTTACTAAAAAATAAATTGCCAAGGAATATTTTGTTCCTATGTGATCTTCCACAAAGAAAGCCAGAGCTAAACTGTGATCACATAATCCTGTATCTTCTCTGGTAGGTAGAAAACACATTCCAAATATACAAAGTCCCTTTAGGCACTGGTGTTAGAGTTTAATATAGGTAAAAAGGATGGTGAGAAAATGACAAAATTATCATTTCCATAAAATATCAGCAAGAAATACAGATAACTCCACCTGGAAGTAGCCCAGATTCTCATGCACTAACCCTGATTTTTAGGAGTAGAGTCAAAATAAAACTGAAAGTTATAACCTCACTATGGAAATGAAAGTTAAAACAATAAACAAATAAGCAAAAAAGATTCTTCTTTACCCTTCCACGTCTGGAGAATGTAGGTCTCCCTATCAGAATTCTAGAAGCCAAGTAGATAATGATAGGTGGGGAACCTCAGCATTCAAGATATATGTTTGGTTATATTTCTTTCTTTTGAAATTAATTTTTCTTTTCTCAATGGTATCTATTTCCCCGAGTCCAGATAATGAATTATAGACTCTGAGTAAGAGTGGACAACTGCCCAGTGTCATCGAATTCAGGAACTAAATATTATTTTAGTTGTCTCCTTATCCCCATTTCCTTTAAAGTTGATGCCACCAATTCATCAGCCCTTTAAGTATTTTTCAGGGTAAAAGTTTGCTACTTGTGACCCCAGACACTGATAGTTTAGATTTTATCATTCTCATATCTGCTAAATCAGAATAAACTTAGAAGAATAAAATGGGAAGAATCATTCTATCTGTTAAGAGTTACAATGTAGAGCAATCAAGATGCTAAAGAGCGTATGCTGTATGTATGCTTCCATTCATATGGATTTCAAGAACAGGCAAAACTAAGTCTGGTGATAGAAGTCAGAATGAAGATGACCTCTTTGGGATGGAAGGGGGCAGTGCTATGGACTGGGAAAGAAGAAGAGAAACTTCTAGTATGCTGAAAAGCTTCTATACCTTAATCATGGGTGTATACATATTTCAAAAATCATCAGTGTATACACTTGATAGCATACATAATCAAGTTCTTGTATGTGTATTAATTCCCAACAAATTAAAAAATAGTGAAGAACAATAAACATATCTCTAAAATTTTATTTAATAAATCATTTATGACTCCTCTAATGCTTACAGTAGAACTTTTGGAAAACATACTTAGATGAGAAGAAAATCATCCAAGAAGGATTTATATGACGTAATAAAAAATGGTAAGTGCAGGAATTAATACAAATGTACCTTCACGTTTAATATTAGTTATAAAAACCACTAGCTAATTTCTATACTCAAAATTGAGAAGGAAAAGTTTTAGAAAATGTTACAAAATGGAAAATGTTGTATTTGTAATTAATATAAGCTAAAATCTGTCTCATGCCAGATAGAAGAATGAAATGCTGATATATGTACAAATGTATATATATGGAGACAGATAAATGATTAAAATAGAAATAGAAGCATAACTGATAGCTTCAAGATATACAAAGCAAGAAAAAGAGTGTGGAAAATTGAGAATATTATGGTTTCAATTCCTCACCCAGTCCTATATCCACTTCCTTTGCCATGTAACTTTGTGGGGTTCTCCACCTCTAACTTTGAGCTTAGCCATTTGATTTGCCATTGTCATTTGGATTCTAGCAAATGGGATGCCAGCAGTTCATGTGTGATTGTGCTTGCTTGCTCTACTCCTCTCCTATTACCATGCAAACATTGCTAACTAACTGGAGAAATAGGGTATCGCCAAATCTCCCCAGTTGTCTCAGCTAAGATTTTCCTACATCAGCAGAAAGCTAGCCAAACCCCACAAAAATAAACAAACAATTAAGAAGATAATGATCAGATTTACATAGAAGCACAGAAATCAGTTATATGTGACCTGGAGGAATCAATCTAAAATAAAACCAAACAGAAACACTTTTAACTAAATAAATAAAATGAGATCTGCCAGTGAAATTCTAATCAGGATGAATCTTTTAGAATATCAAGATCAAGCAAAAATATACTTTAAAAGATGAAATATTAAAGGGATTAAATAATGCATGTATGGGGCGCCTGGGAGGCTCAGTTGGTTAAGCATTTGCCTTTGGCTCAGGTCATGTTCTCAGGGTGCTGGGATCAAGCCCCACATCGGGCTCTCTGCTCAGCAGTGAGTTGGCTTCTCCCTCTGCCTCTGTGCTCGCTCTCCCTCTGTGCTCTCTCGTGTGCTCTCTCTCTCACTCTCTTTCTCAATAATAAATAAAAATCTTAAAAAAAATGCATGTATATATATACACATATACATATATGAAAATCCACTATGAGGATACAAAAGCTATAAAATCATATGCACTTAATATAGCCTAGAAATACATAAAGAAAACGCTGACCGCATTATAAAAATAAATTGACTAGCATAAGATTTTAAAATATTTCTGTCAGAAAATGATAGATCAAGCAGGCCAAAATAGGTAAAACACTCCTTGTTATCACACTCCTGGTTGTTAGCAGGTTGATTTTCAAGGGTTGTTGGCCTACATTGTATCCTTGCCATGTGGGCTTCTCTATAGAGCATCTCAAAACATTGCACCAAAATTCATCAGAGCAAATAAGCAATAGAACAAGAAAGTGCTAGCAAGACAAGTCACAGTTCTTACAACCTAATCATAAAGATGATATTTCATCACTTTTACTTTATTTATTAGAAGGAACTCTCTGGATCTAGCCCACATGCAAGGGGAGGTGATTTTAGGAGAGTGATATCTGGCTTTTGATATCAAAAGGCAGATATCACTGAAAGTCATGTCAGAAACTGCTAACCAACCAGAGAGCTCTTTGGTAATTTACAGTTTTCATAGTTGGAGGTTTGTGAGGTAATACCTATGGCTTTCAAAGTAGACCCAGAATACAATAGAACTATACGGATAATATGCCAGAAGAAAGTCTTCAGAAGGTTTGAAAATGTAGAAAATATGAGAAAATGATCAAGAGGCATGGAAGATACAATAAGAAAAGCTGATACGTGTTTGAGTCCTGGAATAAATAAAAAATGGGACCAAGGCATTGTTTGAAAAGATTATGACTGAAAATGCCCAGGGATAATGATAATTATAATGCATAGATTCAATAATACTAAAAGACTAACAAATCCCAACAGAATAAATAAAAATTGATTCACAACCAAAGTATCTTAATAAAATAAACAGACTTTCAAAATCAAGAGATGATCTTAAAAGCAAAGTATAGAATAGTTGCATAGCAATCAGTCAAAAGGCCAATATATTTCTTAACAGCAAAAAATGAAAATTAGATTATAGAATGAAATATTTAACATATTAAAGGTCAATTAAAAATCAAGATATCTATGAAAATAGAAAATATCCTTCAGGGGATGCCTGGGTGGTTCAGTTGGTTAAGCTTCTGCCTTCAGCTCAGGTCATGATCCCAGGGCCCCTGGGATCAAGCCCCCGTTGTGCTCCCTGCTCAGTGGGGAGTCTGCTTCTCCCTCTCCCTCTGCTCCTCCCTGCCTGGCTCGTACTCTCCGTCTCTCTCAAATAAATAAAATCTTTAAAAATAAATAAATAAATAAAACAATTAACAACAATATTCTCATGGGTTATAAAAATGAAATAGTCCATAACAACAATAAATATTTAATTCAGTGGCAATGTGATAACTACAGTAAAAAATTTTCATGAGTTCTTGTCTTGTCTACCATGTTAACAGTGTCTTTGGAGTCTGATCATCTAAATTTGCATGTGGTAGTTAATAGGATTTCCTACAAAAAGAATAAGAATAAAATTATAACCACCACTAGAAAAGGAAAAAGAAAACTAATGTGAAAGAAGGCAAAAAAAGAATAAGAAAATAAAACATATGGGGGCAAATACATGGTGGTTTAAATCCAAATGTATTAGTGATTTGTGAATACATTTAATGGTCTACCTTTAAAAATGTTTTCAACTGATTAAAAAAAAATCTATCTTGGGGCACCTGGGTGGCTCAGTAGTTAATCTGCCTTCAGCTCACGTCATGATCCCAGGGTCCTGGGATAGAGCCCCACATGAGGCTCCCTGCTCTGCGGGAAGCCTGCTTCTCCCTCTCCCACCCCCCGCTTGTGTTCCTCTGCTCGCTCTCTCTGTCAAATAAATAAATAAAATCTTTAAAAAAAAATCTGTCTACATAATGTTTACAAGAGATGTGTATAAAGGGCTCAAAAATATTGAAATTTCAAAACTGAAAATATCTCCCAGATAAACATCAAAAAACAAAGCTAATGAAGCTATATTACTATGTTAATTGAGTTTAAGGA